ACTATGATAAACATTGTAGAACGTTGCCTAAACTAAATATCGGTGACGAAGTAATATGTATAGATGGTAAGAAAAGGACCCGCGCTACTGTAATTAATCAAGGTGACACACCTCGTTCAATGTAATACATAATGAGCTAGGAAGACGAATCCGACGCAATAGGCGTCATTTAATTAAGTCTTACATAAGTCCAGATTCTAAAAATATTAAAAAAGATATGGACATCACTGCAAACGGAGGGAGTGGCAATTTTGTGGGAGAAAAATGCAAAAAATTACAACAAATCCCTGATAAGGTGACTCAGCGTAACGATAATTCTAGTTTAAACGAAAATAAAATTGCTAAAAATGGGTTTAAAGATCATAATAATGAGGCATCCACATCATGGCCACACCCTCTCACACGTAGTCGGGCACGACGACTCAACATAAAAACTGATTAAATTGTTTTAAATATTTTATTATTACGTTAGTACTATAAGAAATTTTGTTTATTTTTAGTTATTTTTGTTCGCACAGGGGGATGGATGATATTGTATCTTTATTAATAAGGGGAGATGTTGTGGGTATTTGTGTTATTGTAAACGTAGGTAGTTATGTCTCGCTAACGAACGTGTATTATTGCAATCACAACATGAACCATATTTTTTTATATTTCTTGGTAAATTATACATACAAAAGGTCCTATGACGTTTTACGATAAAGGTAATATTTTCGTAGTTATGAGTTTTTAAACATTTGAAAAATCCCGATTTCGGATACTTTGACTCATTAAAAATATATAAAGAAATGTATAAAAAAATATTTTTTTATTTTAGCTTACCTGTTATAAAAGATTGAACAAACCTCTTTAACTAGCCTAATAACTGTCCAAGGTGCGCTGCCGTGGTGGTGCCTTAAATGTTTAGAACCACTGGACTTTATGTGGGGTAATTCCGAAAATTCAAGTGAGCAAAATATAGTTAAATCAGAAACAAAGTATGTATCAATGCTTTTTGTAGAGTGGTATAGAAGAAAGAAAAGTAAATCTAAACCTTCTGTCGAAAGTCAAAAAGGAATACTTTAAAAAAAAATCGGTTTTACCCCGCGGTATATCGAAATTACACCTTATCCAGAAGAAAAATATGTCAAATTTTAAATGATTGTTTGTCGCAACGCAAAGACATTTTATTAAGAGGAATAACAAAATAATTAGGATATGTATTTCAATAAATTAAAGTGACATGAGTTGGTTGTAAACTTAGATAGATTTTTTTTAAATAATTATTAAATATGCATCGTATCAACTAATCAGAAAATATGTCGTATTTACCCCAAAGCACCTTAAATGTAATTATTAAAGTCCAGTTAAAAAAAACGCAAGTTCTAGAGACTTCAAATTATATAATTTGGATGAAGTAATAAGTAGAAAAAAAATGTTGCATACGGCATTCGTGTACACCATACTCTTGGGGTGGGGCAAAGTTCTATAGAGAATCTGGCATACTCCTTTCATATATACTTGATTATCTTAATAATCAGAGATTTTTACTACAATATTTTTAAAGCACAGAATAAATAATATTAGTTCCTTACATATGAAATGATAGCCTTTTGTCGTACTGACCACTGATCTGAAATATCTCCTCTTTGGTTAAGAATTCCAAATTCAAATTTATAAATTCATTTAGCAGGTACATTTGAGTTTTGAAAACAGTCATTCATTTGTTTTTTTCTTTGGCGTCGCTTATTACCGCACAATGGAAAACATGAAATATCGGTATATTTACGAGTACGAGTTCTACCGTGGCACCAGTGCTGCAGAAACAGCTCGAAGGATTAATGATGTGTACAGCACTGATGTTGCAAAAGAAGGTACGTTTTTGGTTTCAACGTTTTCGTTCTGGAAATTTCGACCTTCAGAACCAACCCCGTGGACCAAAGTGGAAAATGAAGAATTAAAGGCTATTGTGGAAGCGGATCCATCACAAAGCACTTCAAAGATAGCTGCAGGCTTTGGGGTAAGTGACAAAACTGTATTAATCCACTTGAAGCAAATCGAGAAATTAAAAAAAACTTGAACTATGGGTAGCTCATGAGTTGAGTGAATCGAACTTGCAAACACGCGTCGACTGCTTTGCTCAACCGACAAAATAATGAAGGGATTTTAAATCGAATCATTGCTTGTGATAAAAAGTGGATACTGTACGATAATCGGAAGCGCTCGTTGCAATGGCTGAACACTGGAGACCCAGCCAAATCCTGCCCTAAATGAAAATTGACTAAGAAAAAGTTACTTGTGAGTGTTTGGTGGACTAGCGCCGGTATCGTTCACTACAGCTTTCTAAAATCTGGCCAAACGATTACGGCAGATATCTATTGTCAGCAACTGCAAACCATGAAGGAAGAACTAGCTGCTAAACAACCGTGATTGGTCAATCGCTTTAGGCCACTGCTGCTTTACGACAACGCAAGACCACACACTGCACAACAAACAACCACTAAGTTAGATGAGCTACAATTGGAATGTCTGCGACATCCACCGTACTCCCCGGACCTTGCTTCAACAGATTACATTTTTCCGGAATTTGGACAACTTCTTACAAGGAAAAAAATTCAACTCCGATGCGGCAGTCCAAACCGCCTTCAAAGAGTTTATTGATTCTCGCCCCCCATGGTTTTTTTAGTAAAGGGATCAATGAACTACCTATGAGTTGGCAAAAGTGCATAGATAACAACAGTGCATACTTTGATTAATTAAATATATTTTACAAAAAAAAAATTGACTTTATATTCCTCCCGTACAAAACGCCAATTTCATATGTAAGGACCTAATAGTAGTACGTACTAAAAGTAAGTAGGATGCAATATTTATACTTAAATACGTCTTGAACTTTATAGAGTGACCTGAATGATGATGATATGATGATCATATGAGCATTATGGGTCATGCACTTTTAGATTTTCCAAACTTTTTTAAATTGAATTTTGACATAAAATTATCGGAAAATTGGAAGTATAATAAGGTTATTGGTGAAAACTTGTGTGTATTTAAACTACTTTAATAAAATCCGTATAATCATATACAACCCTTCTGCATCTGCATTTTGATTCGCAAACGAGAATAGATGTAGATGTGTATGGGCCACAGCAACCATTTACCATCAGATGGACTGTGTGCTCGTTTATCACCCTATCCTACAAAAAAAAAAACGTAATTTTGTTAATGTGCTTAGGGCGTGCACAATTGGATTTACCAATATATTTTTATATTATATTGTCTTAACTTTGTATGGCGCCAACGACAAAGGAAGAATACCTCAATGCGGAAGCCGATTTCGACAAGTCAGTTTCGCGATTTGCCCCGCGAAAATACGAAATCGTCTACTTGAGCGTATTCAAGCACATCTTGCTCCATCTGTGTGCTGCATATGGACTGTATCTAATGTTTACTAAGGCTCAATGGAAAACAGTGATATTTTGTAAGTGATAATTATACTCGTATTATGCGACTAGCTCTAGTTTACTATACTATTCACTTCTCAGTGGGTCATGTGCTCCTGGTAGATTATCATCTTTACATCCATCCATTACAGCCTATAAAAGTCCACTGCTGAACATAGGCCTCCCCCATAGGTTACCTCGTAGGGGGATATTTGCCATAGTTGTATTGTTACTGTTGATTTGAAAATTTCACCTCTGAGTGCTCCTGGTAGATTATCTTCTTTACATCCATCCGTTACAGCCTCTAAAAGTCCACTGCTGAACATAGGCCTTCCCCATAGGTTGCCTCGTAAGGGGATATATGCCATAGTTGTAATGTTACTGTTGATTTGAAAAGTTCACCTCTCAGTGGGTCACGTGCTCCTGGTAGATTATCTTCTTTACATCCATACATTACAGTCTATAAAAGTCCACTGCTGAACATAAACGTCCCCCATAGATTACATCATAGGGAGGCATTTGCCATAGTTGCCACGCTTGGCAAGTGAGTTGGCAACCGCAGTTTTTTATTTTTAGTCTCCTGATTTGTTTCCCTCTGTCGCCTCTTACACCTCTACACGGTAAATAAGTTAGTATGAAGTAAGTTTGAATATACTATATTGCAGACCCAAAAATTGATCTTGTCCCCTAATTTGAAATCTTTAAACTCTTTTAGACAATATGGCCTGCAGCCAATAGTAGTCTTCACAGGTTGTCTCCTCACAAGGCTTACAGATGCGTTGTTCCTCTGAGGACTGAGATGGAATGCCTCACAGTCTATAAATAAAATTACAGCTCGAACATAGTATTGTAACGACGTATTGATCCAGTTCTTCCCAATCTCGGCCGTCCTATAGTTCTATGGGAACACCTGGAAGTAGTTATGGTAGCCTTCGCCAACAGACAGCAGATGATCGATTGGGTTGGTTTGATGGTTTTATCGTATGGCTTTTTCCCCCATAAGTGGTTGACGCTATTGATACTGAACGTTACTTAAAGTCCCTAAACATAGCGAAACACGTTAAGGTAGAAGGCGTTTGTGAAAGATTCATTCCAGAAATAGATTGGGAGTAACGTCTTTTTGGTATGACGTAACAGCACATTCCTATCAATGGAATTGCATATCTGAAAATGTAATGATTTTATTGTTTTTAAAGTGAAAAATTCTTTAGAATCGTTGTGATTTGAAACTGGATGAAAAGAATAAGCAACACTAAAAAGAGACAAACATATATATCTATAAGATTGATCTGCGTGACAATGAAATAATAATAAATGAATACAGTATACTGTGTTTCGTATTATCTCGAACTCAATAAATTAATAATAAAAATAATTTATAATGTTTTTTTATTATTAAAAAATAAATGAGGTTTCATTTCTACTTCTTGTATACTGCATATTACATGCTTTTTTTTAAATATTATAGGTATGTTTTATGCCTACGCCGGAGGTTTCGGCGTCACCATCGGGGCACACCGTCTTTGGACACACAAGACATTCAAGGCGAAGTTATAAATAGAAGAAGAAGAAATATTGATGCTTTTAAATTGTATCGCATTTCAAAGCACCGCAATTGTGTGGATACGGGATCACAGACTGCATCACAAGTTAGTCATAGGATATTGATTTCTGTCGCTTTTCTTTTATAGAAATTAAGGATTAAAAATATGACACAAAATTACATACATGTCTGAAATAAACATCAAATCACTTTGCGAAAGTGCTCACATGAATAATGACAGCGTTTTGTTCGGTGTTAGATTGTCAAAAATAACGTTCGCTGTTTACAAAACAAAGAACTCGTCAACTCGCCCGCTCGCAGTCGACTAAAGGAGTTACGGGGAATTGACCGTAACTTAGTGAGTTATGTATTAAGGCCACAGAGCCCGTTTAGTATAGTCTTTGCTGACATTGCTTAGAACAATATAGCTGTAACTGCAACGAAACGCCTAGCCACCAGCCGAGTCGCCATCCATCTACTCGTATCAATTACAGTCTACTGCTGAACATCGGTCTACCTCATAGATTGCCTCATGGGGGGGGGGGGGGTGGAGGGATTTTGCCTTAGTTGCCACGCTAGACAGGCGTGTTGACTACCGCAAGTTTTTTTCATATTTGAAGTTGGATCAGCTTAATCTGTTTTTAATACTCATTACTTATTTATATTAATTACATCACATTGAGTTTTTAGCACAATAAATGCCTTTCATTCTATCATTACAGCTTGTCAAAAGTCCACAGCTAAATATAGGTCTTACCCATAAAATGCCTCACGTATATTTAATTATTTAGCTATCGGGCAGATATCATGCACATCTCTTATTTCAGTTTCCCTCTGTCGCATCTTACGACACGACTCTTACATCCTCATAAACTTTCACGTTTATAATATTAGTAGAATGAAAATCGATTCTTTAGGAGTAAACTCCAAAAAATTACTTTTAATAAGAAAAGCCGCCAGTCTCAACGGAGACTAGCCACCGGCGCAGGACAGGAAGGATTATAGTGCCCGAGTGCATGCGCAAGCACAGGTGCTTTCTCTATTCCCTCACTCACAAACTCCGATGCAACGGCAATCCGACATCACCAGCGAGAGATTAGGCGCAGGGTCAACTACTTTACATAATTTTCGAGGCACGAGAATGAAACACCGACAACTTACTGACTCCGGGCTGCTTTGGTATACTAGCAGTACACCAACGAGACAGTTATAAACATTCTTTCATCTATAGATACAGCGACACTGACGCGGATCCGTACAACGCTTCTAGAGGATTTTTCTTCTCGCACATCGGATGGTTGCTTGTGAGGAAGCACCCGAAAGTGATAGAAAAAGGGAAGACAATTGATATGAGCGACATTAATACTCGTAACAATCCCGTGTTGAAATTTCAACAGAAATAAGTACAATACAGGGTTATTTAGCAATATACGTCCAAATTTGCAGAGAAGGTTCACAATAAGTACGAGGGTGACACTGAAAGATCTTAGAAAATCAAAAACTGAACAAACTAGCAAGTTCTTATTTTTTTATTTTATCTTTTGATAATAGTGTCCATTTACATCAATACATCGCTGCATCCGATGGAACCACTGAGAAAAGTACTTTGCCCACTCGTCACTAGGGGTCTCTTCGACGGCATTTTTAAACGCAGCCACTGCTTCCTCGACGTCCATAAAATATTTTCCTGGAGGTTTTTCTTTTATTTTCGGAAATAAATAAAAATCGCAAGGTGCGAGGTCAAGGCGGCGGGTGACCCAGAAATTCCACGTCTGACGTTGCTAAGTACTCGATTGTTTGCTTGGCGGTGTGCGACGAGGCGTTGCCGTGGTGAAAGAGGATCCTACTACGAGGTCGTTTTTCTCGAACTTTTTCTAAGACAAGTGGCAAATAATTGTTAGTGTACCACTCTGTAGTAAATGTTTTTCGATCCTCTAAACATTTGATTCGTAATGACCTGTCCTTCCGAAGAACGAGTACACCATCTTTTTTCCTACGCTTGAACCTCTCTTCACTTTAGTTGGCAACTCCTCGGAACGAAACACCCAGACAGGAGGCTGGGCTGTCTCTTAGTTTCAAGATCATAACAATAAATCCAGCCTTCGTCACCCGTAAGTATGTCGAACACACCATTTGAGTCACCTCCGTTAAATCTTTGAACAATTTCACGACACCAATCAACATGACGGAGTTTTTGGGCCTCTGTCAAATTATGAGGTGTAGGAGGCCACAAAGCTTCCTGACCGCTAAATGTTCATGGAGGAATTTGTGCACTTAACTCATACCGATGCCTAAGCTTGTCCGAATCTGCTGATAAGTCACTCTTTTGTCAGTCTCTATCATACGCCGCACAGCACTGATGTTATCTTCAGTCGTCACCGTAGAAGGCCGTCCCTCACGCAGATCATCGGTGAGATAAGTGCGACCACGTTCAAACTCATTAAGCCAGTTGTAAACAGTTGCATGAGATGGGGCTACATCGTGAAAGGCCAATCGAAGTCTATCATAACTTTATTGTCGACTTAAATGACATCGAAAGTCATAAAAAATCATTGTACGAGAATTTTCTCGCGTTAATTTCATGCTGATGTGACACAGACAATTTTCAATTTTCAAAATGACAAATTAATAATATATGACGGCACCAGTACCATTGCTCGTGCGGCGCCGTTGGTGTAGCTAGACAGAATTCTTATAAATAACACGTGTTCCGCACACCTGCACTATTGCACCTGCGGTGGCGCCCGTTTTGCTTGTATAAAACGGACGGAGCGGCCGCCGTTAAGGCAGTCTCAGGGCCGGTCAACTTCCTAATAGCAGATTGGCACCGGGAGATGACCTTGGGGGGCTTTAAAGAAGCGAGATGGAATAATATCTATCTCCCTCGCACGTCATGTTATATTGCCATGAAAGAAATATTATTTTAAATGACACATCATTTTAATCATTTTTTTATTTAATAATTATAATACTTTATTATATAATATATTTCGTTAAACATATATTTATTACGTCTTTATTGAAGTAACAAAATGTATAAATATGACACTGCATACTATAATAAAAAGGCAAGTTATGGCAACGGCAAATAAACAAAATTACAAATGGCAGATCCGTTGCGCTTGCTGTTGCGTTCTTGTTTATTTGTGTTGCAAATTAAGTTTATATTTCGATATAAACTTATTTCTTACATTACTAACGTTGAGTTGAACATCCCGTTCCTCCGTTTTAGTGTTTACAGTGAGAAAGAGACTTAAAAACAAGTGCTGTGCATTGTGCTAAAGAGACAGAGACTCAATTTTATCTTTCATCATGAAAGAAAACGAAAGGAAATGTTACAAGTGTGGATGTTCTCCTGCTCATGATCGTAACATCACCTTGCATCGTTTTCCTAAGCCTGGGAGAACAAATAGCGTACGGTACGTATACTAAATAGCTTTTTGATTACTGATTAAAACAGTTTTAAAATGTTTAAATTTGAACCACTGAATTAATAAAGTAGCAGAAATAAAAATTATTATGGGCCGCATCGGCTAATAAAACCTAAGATACATATTAAGCGATTTAAAAACGTGTGCAAATAAATCTGAAAATTAGAGAAATTATGCAGAACAGCATGAGGTTTATCACATAGAAATCATAACATAATAAAAAGTTCTAGATGTATTGGTACACATAGAAATAACTTGTGGAATAATATTTATATATGTATACAATACAATCACATTGTTTGAAAGGAACAATCTTCTTGTATTGCACTCTTCTTCCAAGCACGTTTTTAGCACCTCAGTAGTATATTATTATCTAATTGTATTTTTTCAGATGTGAATTATGAGCGAAGTACTGTTTTCCTCATGAATCTTGGTGGTCACCAGAATTTCAAAACAATCTCCATTCTAGGCATTTAATGTTGTGCACTAAACATTTTAAGAAATCATCATTCATTGATAATTTTGGAAAGAGGTTAGTCAAATCTGCAGTACCTGATGAGGAATGTGATAAGGTTAGTTAATCTTTCTTTTGTTACTATCTACATTTTTTTCTTTTGTGTGGCTTTTCTCATACTACAGTGAAAATATTATCTAGTTAACAAACGGTGGTAGCAGATTGAGTGGTGATTTATAAGGGTATGCGACGTAACCTACCATTACTTCTCAACCATAAAAAAACAAAAGATATAAACTTTAAAAAAAGTTCTTTTATTTTAAAAAAAAAACCTTATCCATACTAGGATTTTCTCCTCTTTGTGGAGGCAGTTTACAAACATAAATTGGATGAGGACAAACAACCCCCGGCACAATTATTTATAGGCCTTGGGTCAATTTAAAATCGGTGGCAGAAAATGTGACTGTAAATTTCGAAAACATAAGAAAATAAAATTCTGTTTAACTTAGTTGTATAGGTATTTATGCTATGTAGATATCATTGTTAAATGCAATATCGTGGTTGGGCGCGATATTGCATTTAACAATGATATCTACAAAATCTAAAAATACATGCCACTATTTTTAGATTTTCAAGCAATTTACTAGTGCAGGGTAAAAAAAATTACAACTCTGTTACCATCATATATTTATTCATATTTAAACAACAAACAATTATTTTTAGAAACATTCTTTGTTATGAACATTAATAAGTCTTTACTCTCATGTTCAACATGCAAAATTACACAATAGTTCTTCTTAAGTAGGAACAGTAATGGAAGTTAAATATACTCTGTTACTTCCTTTGTTTTAATGATCAAATTTTCACTATAAACTATGTAAATTGAATTAAATTATTAAAATATAATGATGATGTTGTGTATAAATGAGAATATTAAATAATTAATAAACAATGCATAGAGTCAGGTGTCAGCTTTTCATAAAATTCGAGACATTACTCTTATATATTTAGGGACACAAAAGTAACAAAGTTGTAGGAACAATAACATAGTTGTACTATTCGCAACAAATTTATGAACTACTATCACAAAAAACAATATTTTTGGCTATGAATTGTTTTAAGAAGTTTAGAAACTTAACTAGATTATAAAACTTAAGGGGAAAAAGCTAAAAAATCTTATTGAGATCAAATTAAACCTAAGCTGATAACTTATTTTTCAAATATCTCTAGTGGAGTATGGAAGTGGTAATATACCCTTTTGCCGTTATTTACTTTTTAGGTACTGAAACAACTCTTATGAAACTCTCATATTGTTCATATGATATATCATTTTAAACTAATTTGTATGTTTTTCTAGTATCGTCAACAGAATTTAAAAAGACAATTTTTACTTCACCATCATCGTCTACTTCGCTTAATGCTTTGCCTAGATAAACACTTACTTTCAGAATTATAAACTTTAACTAAGACCTAGACTCCTTTTTTGATTTTACTTGGATGAATATTTTCTTTATGAATCAAGGGATTCTCATCATTTTTTTCTTTAGACAAGCAGGGTTGATCTGATGCCTTATCTTTTAATCGTAGCAAAGGATTATCATCATCTGATTCCGAACTCGAACTGTAAATTACATTGTAAAAAGATTTCCTTTTCTGTTCAATCAAATTACTTATATCTGCTAGATTAGTAGAATTACTCCTTTGATTCTTCGACTGTATCCTTTAGTGGACAATAGTTTTTTGGATTCATTCATGAGGAGAAACCAAGCTAGCAGAAACAGCTCAACTCTCAATATTTCAGCGCTCCCACTTCTTCTGTAATACACTAGTAGTACACTTGATGTACTTTCATTATACCATAGAAAGGAACAATTTCTGCTGGAATTTCATTCGCGATTCTTTCAATATCATAATCAGTTCAAGATTGACCTTAACTCTACTACTATCTTTCAGAGACTGATAGAACGAAGACGCTATTAGAATGTCTTTCCCAACAGCAACAAGCTGGTCAGCAGTCCGTTTTAGAAAGCCACCAACACCAACAGCTGCTCCTTTGCCGTGTCCCGACTCGAAAAAATTCCATGTAGGCTTGGTGAGGTTGTACTTTGAGAAAAGTTTTGTCCATATTAAGCAGAAGTTTTGATTCTGGCGGTACTGAGTAGCGGGTCATCTGAAAATATGTGTATCACTTTTATCTTAGGGGATTGGTCTTAAATTGAGGAAAGTATAGGATGAAGGTGACTCCAGATTGCCGAAGGGCCGTGAGAGAGGTTACCTGATACTGTACAAAAAGACTTCACCTCTATGTTTCGATTTTCCAAGCTTCGCTTATACAATATGCCAGTATGTAAGGATACCTGGTTACGAGTATCACGAAAGTGGTGTGATTGTATCACTTCATGGAACTTGCAATTGTAATTTTCGCTGAAATCTACGTGTAGTGCTATTTTTTCTTCTGTCAATCCATCTATACAAGATCTGTAGTTTCTATACTGAGTTGAGTCATGTCTTTTATTAAGCGTTTCTTTTTATGATATCTCTCTAAATCCTTCTTCTTAATTTCCGCTACCTCTTCAGGGTTTTATTTGCACTTTTCTTTATAGCGCCGCTGCTTTTCAGCAGCGGTGAGAGCCATAGCGAAGTAATATGTATTATCTAGAACAAATGATGTAATTTATTAGATAGCTATTATATAATATTGATTCCGACTAACATAGAAGCAGAGATACGGATACACAGACGCCAACGATGGCTTGTAACAGCTTAGTAATAACAACTCTGTTACCTCTCTACAACTCTGTTACCAGTAGCTAGTAACATAGTTGTGCAGTAACAGAATGGTAAATTTAACTTTAGTGACATTTTTTTTAGAAATGAAAGTTTATTATGTACAAAGAAAAGCACATTCGATATATCTTACACTAGAGCTACTTCAATAATATAAAACTATACGCAAATATCTGAATACTTACGCGAAAACACCGGTAACAGAGTACACACAGAATAAAACCACGAGCCTCACACCGCAGCCATCGGATAAATGAATCGTGTACCCGCGCCTCAACCGCCGCAAACCGTACTGATAGAACAGTAGATATTTATGATGAAACAATTGCCAAAGAATGGATAGCGCCATCTCTTGGTATTTATCCGGTTTACTATAGTAACAGAATGTAGCTCTAATATTTTGAAGACCTTGGGACAAAATTTAAAATAATCGTACAAGCTTCAATTAATTTATTTAATATGGATGAAGTATGTTTTTAAATGTGTTATGATTGCTTTATTACACTAGCTTTCAAACATAACAATAACATTGAATTGATAAAAAGATATTATAATTTTCGCATGATGCACTGCATATGGGACAGAATTTTTTTGTATGGAAAACAACTATGTTATCAAGAATGACCACTCTGTTACTTGATAAAAGTGGTGATAAATCAATAATAAAATTCATTTTTCTTGAGAATAAGCTTAGTAATTCGCCCCATATTTGACAAATTCAATAACATTATAACAATTTAATTAATATCACCGAGAAGAAAATATTTTTGCTCAGGGACGACTTTATCTGCAACCAATTTTAAATTGACCCCCTTACAAATACTTATTCTGTGCAGCATTCGAACCTGTGACCTTTAGTGCCGCAACTCAATGCTAGCCACTGCTCCGCGAGCTGTCAATGTTGTTTAAATGACATGATTATAATTTAGTTACTTACAGAATATATTTACAAATAAAAGAAATTGTTAAAATAGTGTCTTAAAAATAGGATGGTGGTGGTAATGGTGTTAAAGCAACATTCATTAAAAAAAAAACAAGTTTTATTTGATGTTTATTGGATAATTACTGGATATTTACACAAATTTTTTTACAGGTGTTGCTAAATGGAGCCATATAAAGGAGTTTATGAAACAGATAACACCAATCCCAATTTTGTGTTTGCACCTTGCTTAAAACAAGAACATTTAAATCCAAATACGAAGCAGAAGGTGAAGGTGAAGCTAGCTGTACAAGTGTTAAGCCACTCAATTGCTGCAGGAATGTATGCTAAAATTTCACAAGGTAAATTAAATTTATAATTTAAAGTATAATATTTAAACATATGTCCACCCATTAAAATAATTATTAACTTAAAAAGGAACTAGGCTCTCCCAAGTACAAATTATTGTTTATTGTGTGATACTGATATGTGATATTATTTTTGAGTTGTCTTGTAACATACTTTAAATCATGTTTCTTTAATCCTAATAGTAAGATCTTAAATTATGTGTTGTTTACAGGGGAACTCTCTTCAGAGGCTGTCACTACAGCTAATGTTATTGCAAATATGGACAAGCTGTTTGATTGTGTCAACGCACGCACACCAGACCTAAGAAGGGGGAAACCATATTCGACAAACATGACAAATAATACACCACATCTCACACATTTCACTTTAATGAAGAATTTTTTTAAAGAAATGACGTTTTTGGGATGCAAACGAGCTCCTCCATCCCAAGAAGGTTGGATATGGTCCATCAATGGAATAGAACGAATTTGGAGAAATCTCAGTTCTAAACATAAATCAATAAAAAGTTTGGAAACAAGAAGGCTCCAGCAGGACCCGTTAGAAAATATTTTTGGATGCATTCGGGCCAATTGCGGCTGCAATTCAAATCCCACTGCTGGGCAGTTTGTTGCGGGTCTTAAAACGGCTGTCCTTAGCAACTTATCTTTTATTGGGACAGGAAATTGTGAAGAAGACCAAAATCAAGTTATATTGACAAATTTTAAATCTTTATTGTCTCCACCCACAGACACACACACTGCTTATGCCACAATTTTAACCGATGAGTTAGAAGAAAGTGTAAATTCTACATTTGAATGTAGCTTGGAAGAAAGCAGTGGCGAAATACAAGCATGTGCCTATGTCTGTGGGTTTATAGTAAAAAATAATCTCAACAAATGTGAAATTTGTAAAAAAATCTTTGTATCTGAGACACAAGAGAGATCACATACTTTTATTGACTTTAAAGAATATAGTGATCTAAAAAAGTCCCTTAAATACGCCTCTAAAAACCTCATTAACTGTATTGAAAGTAGTGCTACGATGATTTATGATTTTTTAGAGGCAGAAGCATATAAAAAAAAATTAAAAGGGACAATTAAAGTTTTGTTCAAAAACTCAATAAATTGGAAGTTTCTCGATGAATGTCCAGAACATAAAGATATGAATATAGATTACTTATTTAATAGCGTATTTCACATTTGTATGAAGAGATTTTGTATTTTGAAAAATCGGCAATTTGCAGAAGAGTACTCTGCATCTGCTCTTAAAAGAAAAATTGATATCCTGCAGAATAAATAAGATATTACATGGAACTACTTTTTCTGTATGTACAGTCATAATCACTTCAGTGGTGACATTATATAAGGAGATAAAAGGAGAGGGAGGATTTGTCCTCTCTCGAGAGAGGCTGCCAAGGAGTGACTAGCGCTGATGAGGCTACGGATGTGTGTAAAAGTGTACCCGTAGTCCTGCCGATAAGTGGTGAAGATGAAACATCTGAGAGTTTTAGTCGGAGTGGGTCAGATATTCCTTGCTTCCGCGAGGCAGGTAGGATTTAAATTTAAGTTTTTTTTTAAATATTTGCCATATAGAGCCACTTGGATTTCGAATATAGTATTTTCGAAATATCACTTTACTGGTGCGAATCATACCTTACAGTCTTTTTATCGTTTAATGTCGGATAGTTTATTAGTCACCCTACAAACAATCGTATTGCTATGCAACTAACTTTTAAGTTTACTGTGGGATATGGATAACACATACATTTGTATTTTTTATAGAATTTAGCAAGTAAATGCTGTGACACTTAGACATCTACCTGTATTATCGAAAAATAATAAATAATAACTACTTAACTATTAAATCGATATTTAGTTAAGAGCTGTTGAGAACTGTTTACACGCATAAAGTTAAAAATTAGTTAATTATGTATATATCCATGTAACATCTTATTTATTCTGCAGGATATCAGTTTTTCTTTGAAGAGCAGATGCAGAGTACTCTTCTGCTAATTGCCGATTTTTCAAAATACAAAATCTCTTCATACAAATGTGAAATACGCTATTAAATAAGTAATCTATATTCATATCTTTATGTTCTGGACATTTATCGAGAAACTCCAAATTTATTGAGTTTTTGAACAAAACTTTAATTGTCCCTTTTAATTTTTTTTTTTATATGCCTCTGCCTCTAAAACATCATAAATCATCGTAGTACTACTTTCAATACAGTTAATGAGGTTTTTAGAGGCGTATTTAAGGGACTTTTTTAGATCACTATATTCTTTAAAGTCAATAAAAGTATGTGATCTCTCTTGTGCCTCACATACTCAAAACATTAAAAATTTGGTCATTAATACCAACTTTCATATGAAACTTGCTTAATAACGCTTTTAATGAACTAGGTGTTGGCAGGCAAATCATCCTTCTTAATCATTTGTAACACCTAGGTGACCTTTTATACAGTCTTAGTGCTATTATTTTGGAGTCCATGTTCCATCTTCGACCTTTTGATTTTTTTTTATAGTTTTGCCATTCTCCTTGCAAAAATAATGCAAAAGAGGGGGATATTTTACATTTTAATATTTCATTTACGAAATCATTTTTGCTCAATACTTTGAGAAATGCTTCATTCTTTAGATGCTTTACAGTTTTTTGAAGCCTGTTAATTTTTTCAGATGATATTTCATTTTTATCAACATATCTTTATCCTTTTTGTTTTTCGTGGATGGATTTGCAGCAGGTAGTGCTAATTAATGACATGAAAATGTTGACTTATTAGTTTTTAATGCAGTCAATAACAATAACATAACGAAAATAATTTCTACAAATGTAATATTATTGGTGGCATCTATAATATAATCAGGTTATTGGAGTTTAGACATAATATTGCAAAGCTATTGCCTTGTTTGTAGAATGTGAAGGTAAATAATGTTTTCTTGTTAGAAAAAATTGTTTATATTAGATTGTCTAATCTTTATTATATAAAACCAATGTACCTTTACTTTCCATTTTGCTTAAATGTCATGTTACATATGCCATGTTAAAAATTAGTTAATTACTCCGTCACTTACGTCCATCAATGTACCAACGGTTTTTCTATGTACCAATGTAGACAAGTATGTAATGTAAATAAACATTATGTATTTCAAAAACCACTTTTATTTGAAAAATAGTTCCTTTTTTATATTAAAATGATTGCTAATCGTTTCAAAAGTGGTTTATGAATGTAAAGTACCATAATTTACAAATAACTTTGTGCTTTTGTTTTCGTTTTAATTTAGCAATATATATCATTGAAACGAAAAACTACAAGCTATATCTATCTATATGGTATTTTACATTCTTAAGCCATTTTTGAAACGAAACAACCAAGACGACAACTAAAAAAAAATCACGTGTCAAAATTCCCGCGCAAAAAGTTTTAGGGGGCACGACAGAGATGGCGTGCATTATGGGTGCCATTTTCTTTGTTTGAAGTTGACATTCTTCCCGCCTAAGGGTATTAGTGTTCTGTGGGCAGTCTTGGTTCTGACGTGGAACGGTGCGCTTGTCGTATTGCGTTACTAGTTTATCCTCGACTCGTTGGATAATTAATTCGTGTAAACGAATTAATTATTATTCCTAACTACAAAATCAGTCTCTGTACTATACCCACTATACTTCCTACATCAGAAGTGGGATAAAGTCCCCCTTATTGCCCACATATAATCTTCGAATAGTATGAGAATTATTACATTTGTAAAGGGTATAATGCATTTTGCATTGATGGATCTCTTTTTATGTTAAATACCGTAATGAAATTTGCTGTCCTACTTACGATATTGTCGTATCATTAAAGTGTAGAGAAAAGATAAAGTGAAATTATTTAAGGCAAAAGACAAATCCTTTTGTTCGATTTGTATTAAAAGTACCGTCGAGTATTTTCATTGTTTCTGACGTACCTAAATATGTTAAGAAATGGAAGAAATATTGGAGGATTTCTAGACGAGTCATCGTTTGCATTGAATGAAAAATTAACTTGTTCAAGTTTTGTTGTAATTTGATAGTTCATGCAAAACATGATTATTACCCTCACTTTTGTGTGATTGTGACGGGGACATGTTTGCGGTATGGTTGGTCTGTAACTGTTCTATACTGAATTGATAAAAAAAAGAGAGTAAGAAAAAAAAAGTGGTTCTTACTATCATTGCAGGGCGTTTGCCGGTCCAATGATATAGCTACAGGGAATAGTGATTCCGGACTAGCATAAATAGTACTTGAAAAAAAAAGCGTAAGAAAAAAAAATAGTTCTTATTATCATTGCAGGGCTTTGTGCCGGTCCAATGATATGGCTATAGGGAATAGTTATTCCGGACTAGCGAAAACAGTACTTGAAAAAAAAAAAGAGACAATAGAAAAAGCTACAGACTAATCATTCCGATCTAGCATAAAGTTGATTAAAGTTTTGTAGGGCTTACTGCCGGAACAAAACTGATTGTCACCCAAGTCTGAAGGGTCAATATAGACCGGACCAGACGCTGTTATGTCAGGATAGTCGAACGATGTTTTTTTGTCTACAGATAACTAAAATTGTGATGGAGCACGTGCGAGGACGCACGCATGTCAGTATGGCCGTGACGGCACCAGTACCATTGCTCGTGCGGCGCCGTTGGTGTAGCTAGACAGAATTCTTATAAATAACACGTGTTCCGCACACCTGCATTATTGCACCTGCGGTGGCGCCCGTTTTGCTTGTATAAAACGGACGGAGCGGCCGCCGTTAAGGCAGTCTTGGCTCTGACGTGGAACGGTGCGCTTGTCGTATTGCGTTACTAGTTTATCCTCGACTCGTTGGATAATTAATTCGTGTAAACGAATTAATTATTATTCCTAACTACAAAATCAGTCTCTGTACTATACCCACTATACTTCCTACATATATATACACAATAATATTGGCAGAGTTCCATTTTCAAAATTTGAACTTATTTTTTTATTATATAAACGTTTACAAGGGCAGTTCTAAAAATTGTCAGTGTCGCCCTCGTACTAAAGGCGAATTTTGCAGAGAAATTAGTTTAAAAATATCTCAAAAATTCTGTCCTTTTCATCTTTTAAATTCAGTAAAATAGACGCCAGTTGGCCTAAACACAATAATTGATATACTCGTTTGTTTATAGGATAAGGGTGAAAAACAAGCACTCGGTCCACCTGATGGTAAGTGTTTACTGCCCATAGACATCTACACCTATCCTCGATTACGAATTTAATTTCAGATGAGTTGTCACCCGTATGGACTAAGATGGAATGACTCGTTTCCAGTAAAAAGGGTCTCCGGTTCTCTACACTCACCAAACGAAACACAGCGTCCATAGAATTATTACGCATAAAATACTAGTACGCGCACGGAAAATGAAGCAAGTTAAACTAACGCGAAACCGCGTAAGTTCACTCAGCGACGCGTCAGTGCGCAACGTCATGTCTTACGGAGAAGAGCTGGCGAAAAATTGTAGAAATGACCGTTTTTGTTGCAAAATATTGTCACAACAGTGATGATAAACATAAAAGAAGTGATGGTACTGCATTTCTCATAGAAGTTTATATATTTAATTCATTATAAGTACGTAAAACTAAAAAAATACTTACCTAAGCTATCATAATACAAATGTTGCTAGTTGTGGGGAAAAAAATCACAATTTTCTTTAACAAATATTTATTTTCTATTTGTGTTTAAAACGTTTGATCGCAACGCTCTGTGTAAAACTCAAATGTTTATATATAGATACCTACGTCTATAAGTAACATAATATTAACAATGGGTGCCTATTTAAAACTAATACGGAGTGATCAGCTAATCGCGATTCGCTGACGCCATTTTAACGCAACTATTTTATTTTAATTGCTTTGTTTATTGACTAAGTCTACGTTTTAGAGTATAGAATAAAAACTTTTCTATTTACAACATCAAGATATTATTAATAAGAACGCCTTTACTAACCAGATGTCACTTTACACCCAAACATTAACCAGATGTTATTTTAGACCCAAACATAGTCTATTTTAACCGACTCCCAAAAAGGAGATGTTATCAATATGTATGTACACTGATTTCTAAGACAATTCTAGATTTACTAGTTGATGTCGTATCACTACGCTTGAGAGTTCATGTTCTGAAAATTTATTAGTGGCCCTTCACTGTGTAGGCAGCGCGCGGTAGCGCGTGCGATAGACGTTACACTACGTTACATCCAGCGAATTTTTTTCAGACTTTATTATAGTAATACGGTATAAGCTAGCCTGCACGACCTACTAGCAAGATATTGCTATTGGTTTGAGATCGCATTCGAGTTTTGTTTTTCTCGATTGTAAATGTGCCATTTTTGCATCCTAATAATTTTTATTTTAATAAAATAAGTACTACAAAGACTTTATTAACTAATTTGACGTCGGGAAAACAACCATTAAAATTTCAGCGTGTATAATGGATCAATCTTTGTGTATATCCTTTCAAATAAAAAATCTAAATCGGTTTAGAAATTGTAGAATTCTGAGGTAAAAAACATTTAAAAAAATACACCGAATTGAAAACCTTTGAAGTCGGTTAAAATTAATATTACACGATGTGCTTATTGTATTCGAGCAAATTAATTGTGTTTAATAATATTCTTAAATTTTATTATGTCTGTATTTTTGTACCATTAAAATATGTATAATTAAGTTATATTAGTACCATCATTATCGTGTTTATTTTATTCTATTTTATATTCTCATAAAATATATCTTCGTACGTAATACGTAATCTTTATTATATTGATTATTTAAAATTAATCAATAAAATAGTAATTTGCACAATTTGATTGCAAACGCCAGAAACTGGTATCACTGAAAGGCGTGTATGTGTGTGTGTGACGAGCGTAGGCACATTCGACTCGCTCCCACTAACATAATGACCTTGCATCACTTTAATGCTCATGTTTTGTACTAGACTACGTTTCTAGTGGGTAATAATTCTATGACAGCGTCATTAAGCTGCTATTTTACGCTGGTATTCTGTGAGAGCGTGGTCCTTCCCCGGTCGAGCCGATCAATTTATGCTAACACTATATTATTTATACAGCTGTAACATAGCTCTATCATGTAATTATAATATTCTGTCTCATTCTCTCGCAGTCTGAATCCAATAGATGTATATGTTTGTCTCTTTTTAGTGTCGTTTTTTCGTTTCATCGTGTTTCAAATCACATAGATTAAAAAGAAGTTTTTACTTCAAAAACACTTAATAAAATCATTACTTTTTCAGATATGCAATTCCCTTGGTGGGAATGTGCTGTTTCGTCATACCAACACTGATTCCAATTTATTTCTGGAATGAATCTTTCACAAACGCCTTCTACCTCAACATGTTTCGCTATGTTTACGGATTTCACGTAACGTTTTGTGTCAACAGCGTCAACCACTTATGGGGGAACAAGCCATACGACAAAAACATCAATCCAACCCAATCGATCATCGTTTCTCTGCTGTCTGGTGGCCTCGGGGACATAAACATAAACATTAAACTAAATGAGTCAAATGTTAACTTATATCTCAACACCATGAGCGAGGTAGGCCTTGATTGTGGAATTCGAGAGTATACACGTATTGAATCTAGAGGGAACTTGATTACCAAAATCTGTATTGATCACATATTCATACGAAGCCTTGACAATCACAGTGCTACTCCATCATCCATACATACAGCAGTGATAAATAACTCCATAGCTGACCATTATATGACCGGTTTTGTGATAGTCCAGGCTTCATTACAAAAAGAGAACATTAAATATTGTACTAAAACAAACCATCGCAAATTACTAAATGAATTGTGTAATGTAGACTGGAGCCAGGGGTTAAGATACGTTAGTCCAAATGATATAATGAACTTTATTTCTAACAAATACAATTATATTTATAAAAAATGTCAATTTACTGCAAAAGTACATACAGGTAAAAGGAGGAATTGTGTATGGATAAATAAAAGAGCCATAAAAATGTGTAATACTAAGAATAAGCTATTAGCTATATGGAAACAGGATGAGAGTAACTTGCAAAATAGAATATTGTATAATAAGTATCGAAATAAAACTAACAAATATATTAATTACATAAAAAACAAACATATTAAAAGTCAGATAATAGCTAATTTTAAAAACCCAAAAAAAGTTTGGGATATTGTGAACAAGTTATGTGGTAAATTGACAAAATCTATAGATGAAATTTTATTAAATAAGTTCAAAATGCCTGCTAAATTAATATCAAATAAATTTGCTACAGAACTTCAAAAAAACATTGAACAAACCTGTACATCCTGCAGCACTTCTATTCTTAAAACCAATACTTATATTAATGAACCGAATGTATGTTTTAGATTGGGAAAAGCAAACCAATACACTATATCCACAATAATAAACAAATTAAATGAGAATAAAAGTGCTGGCTGGGATAATATTAGTGCAAAATACATAAAACATGTTAAAGGCAAAATAACACCTATTATTACTCATTTAATTAATCAGTCCATTGAAACATGTAATTATCCCGACCTATTAAAAATAGGTGTTATTAGGCCTATACATAAGAAAGGAAGCTACGACAATCCAAATAATTACCGACCAATTACTATTTTATCTTCCATTGACAAAGTGATTGAGAGGTACATTGGAGATACTTTAAGCAAATACCTTGCTCAGAATAAAATAATAAACTGTAAACAATTTGGATTTCAAAAAAATAAAAGTACTTCACAGTTACTTGCAAAGTTTACTAACGAAGTCAACTTGCACCTAAATGAGAGGAGACATGTTATTGCTGTCTTTATTGATTTTAGTAAGGCATTTGATGTTTTAAATTATAATATACTTTTTTCAAAATTAGAACAAAACGGAATTCAGGGTCCGGCCCTGAATTGGTTCAAAAACTATCATACAAACCGTCATACAGTAGTAAAGGTCGCAGGTGAATATAGTAATAAAGTATTTACTTCTCAGGGTACAGCCCAGGGCTCCATTATTGGTCCGTCTGAATACTTGTTATATGTGAATGATATGTGTAATATCTTTAAAGATTGTTCCATTTACCAGTTCGCAGACGACACATGTCTAATAACTGCACATAACAACCTATTTAAAGCACAAGAATTGATGCAACATAACTATGATCAGCTGTGCAAATGGGCACATGATGTTGGGCTGGTAATCAATACTCAAAAAACTAAACTGATGCATATACACTCAAGCTACATAAAATATGATACACAACCCACTATCATTGCACATGAGCACAGCTGTCTGCATCAGCAATACACCAAATGCAACTGTAACCCCCTGGAAATGGTTGATCAGCATATGTATTTAGGCCTAATAATAGATAGTAAATTTAACTGGAGACCTCATGTTATTCACATTTGTAACAAACTAAGAGCAATACTTTGTAATTTAACAATACTTAAGCATAAAATTCCTTATCAAACGTTGAGACTTTTATATTTGGCATTAGCAAATTCAATAATAAACTATGGACTGAGTAGCTATGGTAGAACATTTAAAACTTATATACAAGAAATTTATAAAATACAACTAAAAATCTTAAAGGCAATAGTTCCTAGCTATGTTAAGCAACTATACAGACATGATGATTCAAACTTATTTAAATATTGTAATACGTTAAATGTATATGAAGAAACTAAATTGGCAGTCATATGTGAGGAGTGGGAACAGTTGAGTAAATTAAAAAAATATAGTAGACCTGTAACCCTACGTAAGTTGAATAGGTTACCGACATATAAGATTCCAACTTACAAAAATATTTATGGTAAGCGCACATGGGAATACCTGCTCCCCTCTTTACTCAACGAACTTCCTCTCACTATCTTAAATATAGTAAAATATTATAAAGTAAAAATAGCTAAAAGAACACTAAAAGAGTTTCTAATTAAATAACTAGATGGTCGGTATGGTATGTGTATTTGTATCATTATAAGTTAGTATAATATATTAATAGTATCTTAAATGATAACATAATTATTGTAAATTTCCTGATCTAATGTGTTTATACCTGATTTATCTCAAATTTACATATTAATAATATACTTAGTGATTAGCTGATTAGTTAATAAAGATATAAATCTACCATTATTATCAATAATAGTTTTAATATAGATTATAGTTTATAATTAATAGACCACAGCAACTAAACCGTGTGTGGTTTCTGCTGTAGGGCTAAAAAAAATCATTTTGTTTTGTTTTATATATTTTGAATAAATGAAAAAAAAAAAGGCTACCATAACTACCACCATGTGTTCCCATGGGACTATAGGACGGCCGAGATCGGGAACAACTGGATCAATACGTTCACGTTGGTCATAGATTTATTGCATAAAATAGGTCTAGCCCACGATTTGAAGACGACTTCAGAAACGATGGTGCAAGAAAGGCTAAAGCGAACTCGGGATGGAAGCGATTTGTGGGGGGTAGCTGGAAAATTGTAAGCGGCCTTTTGGATACAAAACTAAGTTTATTTACGTCCATTTAACATTAATTTTCAAGTGATGGTACGAAATGATTGATGTCCGAGTCATATTTTCAGGAAACGCTTAGGTCTCTGTTATAAATTTTTTTAATGGTTTATTACATAAAAAACATAGTTGGTTGTTTCTTAACCACTCGCCAAATTGCAGGGCAATTATTTGGCGAATACATCACCTATAGTTCGGCCGTTCAGAGAATGCGTTCCTGACACCTATCAGTTAGTCACGACTAGTGATGGGCACAACATAACACTGAGTTCGTTACCGTTCCTCCAAAATGAACCGCCGCGTTATTTTTAAGATTATTTTCGTTTTAAATTGGCGGAATCATTTAAAACGTATATTTTAGTAATTTAAGTGGAAAGCAAAAAAAGGTAATATTAATATAATAAAATTGTTTTATTTATTTTTAGTTACAAAGTTACAATCTGTATTTCTATGCAATAAAGTATATTGAATTGAATGTGCGTACAGAATATTAATCAGACTCCGATTCGCTTGAGGAGGTGGTGTCTTCATCATCATCTTCGCCTACATGTATAATTATATTATTATCAATAACAGAATCAATCCTGATATCTCGGTCAAAATGTTCCACAATCAGGTTTTTAGTCTTCTCAACAACCTTTGCCCAGTCATCTCTTGTGACTTCCCCGCAGGCTTCTTTTAATAGGGTCATCATCTTTTTCGTGCTGAATGGCGGGGAAGTATTGTGGCGGGCGGCGTAACCTTTTATTTGAGCCCAGATTAGCTCAATCGCGTTATATTGGCAATGATACGGTGGAATTCTTAGAACGCGATGACCGTACTCTAGAGCCAGTTCATCGATTTCGTATCGCACATTTGCCGCTTTATTTTCTTTAACTAATTTAATTAGCTCTGGTTTTAGCATCTGCATTTTTGCGTCAATGCCTTTTGCTTGTAACTAAGCCATCATTTCTTCTTTTTTATTAGCTTGGGTAGGTGGTTTCTGTATTTGAATCGAGTGATAGGAGGCATTATCCATGAATATTACAGAAGGCTCTGGTAGGCTGGCAAAAGCACGTTCTGGAACCACTCTTTAAATGTAGTGGCATTCATTTCCTCGTGGTAGTCATTTGTGGTTTTTGATTGAAATGCCAGTAACGCGTTCTCCACAAAGCCGTATTTTGCAGAACCTGCGTGGCATATTATCAGACGGGCCCCCTTACCCATTGGTACTTTCGACGTCGACGCTTGTGTATCATCCGTCCAAGAACGGGAAACCATGTGATTTGCGTTTAGCCATGTCTCGTCAATGAACACGACATTATCCCAGTTATCAATATTTTTTGCTTCTCTCAAAAAACTTATCCGTTTTAAAATTATGTCGTATCGTTCTAATAAAATTTTTCTTTTGTCTGTTTTTTTATACGAAAAACCAATATCTTTTAAGATTTTGGTTAAAGCAGTTTTACCCCCGCTAAACAGTCCAGCTTCTCTTAACGATGCCAAAAGCTTCTTCCTGTTGAGATATTCATTTCTGGAATAGTAACCATATATATGATTTCTGATTGCATCGGCGTCAAAGGTATATCTGTCACGGGTTTAGTTTTACGTTTATTCTTCGGAGTACGTAAAATATTATCTTCCGTGCCAGTAGAGCCGAACTTTTCTTTATTAATATTTGTTATCGTTCGTTTGCTAACTCCAAGCGCCTGAGAGACGCGTTCTTGTACTTGTTCGACAGGTAACAGGGGTCCGCCATTTTGCCGCTCCCGCTCAAAGTAATCTTGCAGCTTGATGATTAACTCACGGGCTCAACTTTTCAATGTTTGTCCACGTTTAGGCATTATTATGCACCAAAAGTAAAAAGAACGCAATACAAAACACAATCGAAATCCGATTTAGCGCCGATGTCAGTTTGAAAAGCAGAAACAGTCCATTAAACGAAAGCCGGGTAATCAAATAAAAACAGATCGAAAACACTTGAAGAACGTGGTCTATGCGCACGAAACGACAACAGACGACTGTTTTAGCGTCACAAAATGGCGGCCCATAACGCCATTTGGGGTTACCATTTTCAACCTAAATATAAAAATGCTACTTTCTTTCGCGCGTTCGGTTTGGTCGTAGTTTTATTTTTATATTTAATAAAAGTTATCTTATAGTCCATTATTTTCAAATTCTTAAAAAGAAAAACAAAACGTATTATTTTATAAAGTATAACTGTATAAGAACAGATTACGATACTGTTATTGCCTGTTAATGTTCACAGCACTACAAATATAAAGCGCTGACATAACCTTGTAATAGTGCAGTATAGATTTAGAAAAATATTGTTTACCAAGTTATTTGACACTCAGTTTGGCACAAAATTATAACATTCATTGATTATTGATATAATAATGTTGTTATAATACTCATCAATCGCTAAAACGGTAAACAACCAGCAAAAATATTTTTATCGTAACTGCAACGGCATTACAAAGTTACGTCGTCAGTTCAATCGCGACGTGTCAGGAACGCATTCTCTGAACGGCCGAACTATACTTACATTTTATTTACCTACTGTAATTAATATCCTATTCTTAGATTTAAAAGTTAATATAGAAAAGTTAAATTTAAACTTAGAAGTGTTATTTACATACCGTATTATTTTTAAACTTATTACTAACTAGCTGTTCCCCGTGACTTCGCCTGCGTGTAAATTAGGATTTTTTTGCGCGGAACTCTAATTCTTGTTCTAAAATAAAAGTAACTTAACCACTCTACTTAGTTAGATCTATGGTCAAGCCAAAGAGTATAGTAGGTCAGGTCAAAGGCAATTTTTTTTTAAATGAAGGTAAATATAACTTAGAGTCATTACGAACTTCTTATCCAATAATAAAAAATTATCAACAATTAAGATATCGCATTATTTGTATGAAGGTGAAATGAGCGCTAGAAAAACGACGATTGCTAGACGCTTTGTCGATTAATAAAATGTTTTGAGAAGTTATCAGTTACCGGGTAGTGGCGGTGTATGAATATCCATACCATCCCGTGGGTCTCGTAAGAGACGACTAGACTTTGGATTATTTTTAAATAACCGTGACCGTCGTTCCGGTTACCAAAAATCATCATGACTTTATCACGTTGATAAAGTTGTATAACTACTTGGAACATTAGAAAGACTTACAACGTGACTTTATACATGCATTATAGATTTAGTATTAGGTTTTATTTCAGTATTAAATTTTTTATTACCTTCCTTACTTAAGCTACGTGGATATGTTATAAGTTGTATGTTACAAATTATTTACACTATCTTTAATCAGTTTTTCTTTTTCTATCGAATTGCATTCTCAAAGTAGCGAATTTCTCGAAAAAATGTTTTTTATTACTCAAAATTTTAGAGATTTTAGTGCAGTTTTAATGTGAATTATGGCTGTAAATCACAAATGATTCATGATGACTAATCTTATACATTGTATAAATTGAGTATACTTAAAGATTTAGGATCTAAAGCACATAATGTTTAAAAATTATTCTTTACGACCGTACCAGATTTTAAACAAAAACCAATTTGTCCTTTACTACCTAATACATCTTTAGAGAAACTAGAATTATGCTTTACTACCTAGAAATATGAAGATTTATCTTATACGTCTTCTATCTATCTGGAAACTAAATTGAACTTTACCACTAGTAACAACAGCAAACAGATAATCGAATAAATACAACCCAACCAAAATTATTAGTCTTTCTCGCTTATACAATTTCCGAAAAGGACAAATCCAGGCGACCGACGACCTAGACACGAGCGCTAGACAGAGACAGAGCTATGTGGAATGTTCTTTGATTAACTTCATCCTGAGTTTCTCTTGTACCTGCCTGCACCTCTCACCCCTGTGCTTACCGACTCCACTACTCCCGACCGACGATACGTTTAGATGTAAACAAAACAGCAAAGTGGTAACGGCGTTTTGTCTCAGGTTGTTTTTTGACCTTTCTAATGATTATTTCTGAAATATAAGAATTTCACCTAACCTAGGTGATCAGTCAGTGTACCGTACAAATAAGTTAGATGAATAACTAATTTTATTTTTAGAAAATTGTATTGATGTCCAACGTCCACGACAGCGAAATCTAACGGTACGGACGGGACATATTATGCAAAAATACCGATACGAACACAAAAATAAACATAAATCGAAATATTTATCTTTGTACCGACTGTCAATTAAATTCACATTACAGTCAATTAAACTAATGTGGGTAATTTCTAAACTTAAACAATGTTTTTACTAAGTTTTTTTTACAAAAAAACTGTAATATACTCGCTGACTCGTTCTCGTACAGCGTTTGTACCGGTCGGCCTTACAGGTGCACCACCGACCGTACCTTCTACTATGACATACCGAGCCGGCGTGTTACAATGTTCGTTGAGACGTTAGGGTCGTCAATAAAATG